AAAAAAAAAAAAAAAAAAAAAAAAAAAAAAAAAAAAAAAAAAAAAAAAAAAAAAAAAAAAAAAAAAAAAAAAAAAAAAAAAAAAAAAAAAAAAAAAAAAACAAAAAATAAAAAAAAAAAAAAAAAAAAAAAAAACAAAAAAAAAAAAAAAACAAACAGACAACAAAAAAAAATAAAATAAAAAAAAAAAAAAAAAAAAAAAAACAATAAAAAGAACAAATCCTGATCAAGATCCAACCATGCACCTGACCCTGCTCCTGCTTCTTTCCTGCTCCAAATCCTGCTCCTGAGGGGGGGGGGGAGCTCCAGCTCCTGTTCCTGCTCCTGCTCCTGCTCCTGCTCCTGATCCTGCTCCTGCCCCTGCTCCTGCTCCTGCTCCTGCTCCTGCTCCTTCCCCTGCTCCTGCTCCTGCTCCTGCTCCTGCTCCTGCTCCTTCCCCTGCTCCTGCTCCTGCTCCTGCTCCTGCTCCTGCTCCTACTCCTGCCCCTGCTCCTGCTCCTTCCCCTGCTGCTGCTCCTGCTCCTGCTCCTGCTCCTGCTCCTGCTCCTGCTCCTGCTTCTTGTTCCTGCTCATCAGGGTGGAAATTCTGGATCATGAATCCGGCCCGCCTCGCCTGTCCGGCGTGAACTCAGTTGTCGGGTAAATCGGCCCGGCCCGGCCCGAATTACCGAGTCCTGAGGCGGGCACAGAATATACATGGTACCACAGACCAGTATAGAAGTACTAATTTAGTTTACTCAAGATTTTTAAGTCCAAACTCAGTACCAGGACAATAAGGAGAGTATAAATCACCTTTTTAATATAGATATAATACCGCTTTTACTCAAAGTTAAGTTAAATATCTATACGAAAACAATCACCGGTACTTTACCCTTTACTACCCCTTGCGATTAAGCGCTCGAAGCCGTGCTTGACTCGGACCCCTGCATATAAGGGGCTTAGAGGACCCGTACCATCCCCTCTCACCGTACCCCCTTCCTTCTGTCCCACCCCCTTCTCGTCTCAAGTTAGCACCGGTACCCTAAAGATAACTAGGACTCGCATGTACCCCTACCCCCTCATTAAGACACCCCCCATGAAGATATTGGAGAGCACCTACCCCTCTCTAGCACCCACCCCCTTCACACTCCTAGTAGGCCTACTAACGAATTCTCCGGGTCCATCACCACCATCCCAAACTTTCGAATAGTTTTCAACTTTGTTTCAAATATTGTCTTGAACTTTCAATTTTAGTCGACTCATAATAATGCCTACCGTGAATAAACGTTCCCCACCCCTCCTTCCATAACCTTCCCCCGATCCCCCAATCCCCACACCCACCCCTATGGATCCCTACAAGTACCCCCTGATTTCTCAACCACCCAAAGCAACCACTACCCCCCGGTGCATAGCCCCTTCTGTGCCATCAGCGTGTTCACAGGCCGCCAACATGAACGCGTCGGAGGATGAGGATGAGGATGAGGATGAGGAGAAGGATGGGAAAAGGGAGGAGGGAGGAAGGAGATGGTTTGAGGAGGACAGATCAGAGGAGCTGTAGCCTGGAACAAAGGAGACGAAGGGAACGCACAATGAACATGGAAGCGCAGAGCTCACGAGACGGGCATGAGGAGGATAGAACGCATGCTAGAGCTCGACTTCGCACCAGAGAAGTTCTTTTCCTGATCTCATCATTTTGAGATCCTCGTTCAAGGGCGATGTCTGATGCTGGGCTGGACATCGATGACCTTGGTGCAAGCCGAGGAGCAGCATGATAGGCTCCAAGAGGATTACGTGGCGAGTGAAGTGAAACGAGAGACTAGCATCAGAAGCGCAAGGGACACACATGACGCGAGCTGACTCGTTATATTCGTGCTGACGTGCAATGCAGGAATGGAGGAGCACCGGCCGAGCACGGAGGCGGTGAACGCCTGCCTGACGGACATGTATCAGATCACCATGTGCTATGCGTACTGGAAGGCAGGACGGCACGAGACTCCGGCGGTGTTTGAAATGTACTTTCGCAAGAGCCCGTTCAAGGGTCAGTTCACCCTCCTCGGAGGAGTGCGGGAGGTCCTCGGGCTGCTCCAGACGTACAAATTCACAGAAGAGCAGATCAGGTATCTGAGGGAACAGATGCCCAACGCCGACGCCTCCTTCTTCGACTGGATGCAGAATATCGACTGCTCTCAGGTCAAGGTCTGGTCGTTCCACGAGGGCTCAGTCGTCTTTGCCCGTGAGCCTCTCCTCCGCGTCGAGGGCCCCATCGCAGTCTGTCAGCTCCTAGAGACCACCCTCCTCTGCCTCGTCAACTACTCCTCGCTTGTCGCTACGAATGCGGCTCGAATGCGGCTCGCTGCAGGGCCCGACAAGGTGCTTGTGGAGATGGGGCTGAGGCGGGCGCAGGGGCCGGACGGGGGGCTGTCGGCCTCGCGCTACTCGCACATGGGAGGGTTTGATTCTTCCAGCAACGTGTTAGCGGGGCTGAAGTTCGGGGTAAAGATCTCGGGCACTCACGCGCATGCGTTCGTGCAGTCGTTCTCAGGGATCGAGGACCTGCAGCAGCAGGAGGTGAAGGCGGCAGACGGCTCCACTGTGAACCTGGTTGACAAGGTCATGGCGTATCGCAAGCAGCTGGGGATCAGCAAGGCAAACCTGGGGGAGCTTGCTGCTTTTATCGCGTACTGTCAGGTAGGAATAGACTTCTCAGCTCCTCCTGCTCCTCGTTTCCTCCTCATTTCCGTCTCTTTTGCTTATCCTTGTCTACTTGGCTCCCCCTGCTTGCCTTGTTTACTCCCTCTCGCCTTTCCGCAAGCGCTCGTCCATTTAGGAATGCCGCTGTTGCTGCTGCATGTTGATTCCCTTGCACAACCTCGTACTTCTCTTTCGCCTTCTCCTCCTCTTCCTCCCTACATCGTTTTGCCCTTAGTGCACCCATCGCTCTCTTTCCTGGACTAACTCGTCACGCTGCAGGCTTTCCCTTCCGCTTTCCTTGCGTTGGTCGACACCTACGATTGCCTGGAGTCCGGTGAGAGAGGAGGAGCAGGGAGGAAGTAGCCGGAGGAGGCAGCAGAGCAAGTATGGGAGGAGGATGTATGGGTGCGAGGATGGTAGAAGAATCGGGAAGGGGGGGGGATACCAGGGAGGACGGGTTTGGAGGGAGGGGGCTGAGAAGAGGAGGGGAAAAGGACAGACATTGAGGGGGTGGAAAGGGAGGAATGCTGAGATGTTCTGAGACTTTGTGCAGGCATTCCCAACTTTCTGTGCTGCGCACTAGCCCTCATTGAGTTGGGCTACTTCCCGATAGGAATACGATTAGACAGCGGAGACTTGGCAGAAATGTCGAAGTCGGTGAGAGAGGGGGGGGTGGCGGTGGTGGTGGCAGCGGCGTCATAGTGAGGAGGAGGAGGAGGAAGATCTTGGGAAGGGGTCGAATGAAGGGGTGGAAAGGATATGAAGAGGGAGGGCCGATAGAGGTGACAAGAGCGAAAGGAGAGGGGAGCGTGAAAGGAAACGGTGGCATGAAGAGTCTCCTTGCCTTGATGATGAATTTGATGCTGCAGGCAAGGAAACTGTTCAGAGAGATCGAGGAGAAATTTTCCATCCCCAACTTTGCCTCTCGCCTCAACATCGTTGCTAGGTACACCACTGAATATGGCGCTCCCCCCCACCACCCCTCCTTTCCACACCCGCTCCTCCTCTTTCACCACCACCTCCACGTCTGTTTGTCCTTCTCCTCCTATCCTGCTTCGTGCAGTCGCTCCCTTGCTCGCCTTCCCGCCCCCTCTTGCACTTTCTTCCGCGCCTCCTGCATCTTGTCCTCTCCCATCCTGCCCTCCTCTTCCTCTCCGCTCGTGCTAACACCCGTACCAGCAATGACATCTCAGAAGATTCACTGCACGAACTAAACGACAAGGTGAGTCACTGAATGACGTGGCAGCTGTCCCCTCATGCCGTTATAGGGCCATGAGATCGATATGTTTGGAATTGGGACCAACCTCGTCACTTGTCAAGTGAGTTTCCCGTCCCTCCCTCCTCCGCTTCCTTCTTCTCACCTTCCTTCTTCTCACCCGCCACTTCCTGCTCTTGTCCTCTTTCTTGTCCTGCACGCTCTTTTCTGTCCTGTTCTTTCTCCATCCCTCTCCTCTTCTTCCGCTTCCTCCATCTCCTCACCTGCTCTCCTCTCTCACTCTGCAGTCAAATCTCTTGATCGCTCGCGCGTCTGACTATCTTCCCTTCAGGCTCAGCCAGCTCTCGGTTGCGTCTACAAGCTCGTCGCCATGGGCTCTCTCCCTCGCATCAAGATCTCCCATGATCTCGTCAAAGTCAGCATCCCAGGATCCAAGAGAGTCTTCCGCCTTTTCGACTCCACTGGTGATTTTCCCTCGTCCCTTCCTCGTCCCTCCTCCCATCTCCCTCCTCCCTCCTTTCTCTTACCTCTCTTACCTCACCCTCATCCCCTTCATCTCCCCCCTGCTCCTCTCCCTTCCTCTCTTCTCGCCTTCCCCTTTCCTCCTCTCATGCTCATCGCCGATTTTTCCTGCAGGCTCTCCGCGGGTTGACCTGATGATGACGGACGATGAGGTGAAGCATGACGGAGCTCCCAAGGTCAATGCTGCAACTGCTTGCCCCTCCCCTCCTTCTTTCGTCTA